GTTGGTAAAATGTAGATTGTTTTTCCAACAGGTCTTCTGAGGTCATCTGGTGACTTCTAGCAGTTCACGATCAAGTAATATAGCAATATTCTTCAACCTATATACTGTATATAGAAGACTGGTGGTATTGTTATACTGTATATATAAGACTGGTGGTATTGTTATACTATATATAGAAGGCTGGTGGTATTGTTATACTATATATAGAAGGCTAGTGGTATTGTTATACTATATACAGAAGGCTAGTGGTATTGTTATACTATATATAGAAGGCTAGTGGTATTGTAATACTATATATAGAAGGCTGGTGGTATTGTTATACTATATATAGAAGGCTGGTGGTATTGTTATACTATATATAGAAGGCTGGTGGTATTGTTATACTATATATAGAATCCTGGTGTTAGTGTTATACTATATATAGAAGGCTGGTGGTATTGTTATACTATATATAGATGACTTGTGGTATTGGTATACTATATATAGAAGACTGGTGGTATTGTTATACTGTATATAGAAGACTGGTGGTATTGTTATACTATATATAGAAGGCTAGAGGTATTGTTATACTATATACAGAAGGCTAGTGGTATTGTTATACTATATATAGAAGACTGGTGGTATTGTTATACTATATATAGAATGCTAGTGGTATTGTTATACTATATATAGAAGGCTGGTGGTATTGTTATACTATATATAGAATCCTGGTGTTAGTGTTATACTATATATAGAAGGCTTTTGGTATTGTTATACTATATATAGATGGCTTGTGGTATTGGTATACTATATATAGAAGACTGGTGGTATTGTTATACTGTATATAGAAGACTGGTGGTATTGTTATACTATATATAGAAGGCTAGAGGTATTGTTATACTATATACAGAAGGCTAGTGGTATTGTTATACTATATATAGAAGACTGGTGGTATTGTTATACTATATATAGAAGGCTGGTGGTATTGTTATACTATATATAGAAGGCTGGTGGTATTGTTATACTATATATAGAATCCTGGTGTTAGTGTTATACTATATATAGAAGGCTTTTGGTATTGTTATACTATATATAGAAGACTGGTGGTATTGTTATACTGTATATAGAATCCTGGTGTTAGTGTTATACTATATATAGAAGGCTCGTGGTATTGTTATACTGTATATAGAAGACTGGTGGTATTGTTATACTATATATAGAAGGCTGGAGGTATTGTTATACTATATATAGAAGGCTGGTGGTATTGTTATACTATATATAGAAGGCTAGTGGTATTGTTATACTATATACAGAAGGCTAGTGGTATTGTTATACTATATATAGAAGGCTAGTGGTATTGTTATACTATATATAGAAGGCTGGTGGTATTGTTATACTATATATAGAAGGCTGGTGGTATTGTTATACTATATATAGAATCCTGGTGTTAGTGTTATACTATATATAGAAGGCTTTTGGTATTGTTATACTATATATAGATGGCTTGTGGTATTGGTATACTATATATAGAAGACTGGTGGTATTGTTATACTATATATAGAAGGCTGGCGGTAATGTTATACTATATATAGAAGGCTTGTGGTATTGTTATACTATATATAGAAGGCTTGTGGTATTGTTATACTATATATAGAAGGCTGGTGGTAATGTTATACTATATATAGAAGGCTGGTGGTATTGTTATACTATATATAGAAGGCTTGTGGTATTGTTATACTATATATAGAAGAATGGTGGTATTATCACGCCTTTTATTAAAGTTGTTTTGAATAAACTAAGTAAATTAATTTATCCAAATAAAAACTTTATATATTTTTATTTAAAGTAAAACTTTAATTTAGAAATAGAATTTTAAACTGCTCCATGTTACAAAATACTGTATTGTAAAAGAATGCGGAAAATACTTTAATTGTATAATTGTGAGGCTAGAATTAGTGGCTAGTTTATTTGTCAAGTTCTATTACAAAAGATGTCAGGTAATGCTCAATTTAGAGGTCTTGGCGGAGATTTTGTTCTATACAAAATCTAAGATGTTGTTACAGCAATTCACTTATAGCTATTCGGAACAGTATTCATTTCTACAATCAAAGAAATTGTCAAACCAGTTTATATGGTTACTTGTTGACACCACCGTGTGTTACAATAGGCGTTAATTGAGCTAGGTATTATTGTGGACTTTACGCTTACGTTGGATTTACGTAGAGCAAATTATGACATGTGTAGCGACGCGTGGGTCGCTTCGTATCGTTTTCCGGAATTTAGTACAACCCTGTCCGAGGAAGCGAGGAACTCTGGGAGAAAAAGTGACGTCACAGCCTCTTCCTTTGGAGGCCAAGATACGATAGGTCGGTATTGAAATTCGGGCAGGGTAATCTGTTAGATTTTTGTGTTGTCAGCGCCCATCTCTTCCCTAAAATGTTATAAAATGGTTTACTAAACATCAGTTGCCACCTACAACCCGATAGGTTTGATTTCCGACCGTGTATTTTGGTATATTTTTCGACTTATGCGGACTTAAGTTTTGGCTGGAACCTCGTGTCGTGATTGAAATTTGGTTAAATAGTGGATAATTCGAGAATTGGTATTCTCGGGGAGTAGTTTTCTCTCGTTCGGTGAGGCTAATTTTGTGTGCCCCCCCCTCGCCAAGACGAACGTAGGAGAAGGCGGTAGTGTTGAGTTAAACTTTGTAAATTTGGAGTCGGTCACGTGGCGGAGATATGTCCGTTCGGCGAGGTTTGAGACTCGCTCCGAGGAACGGTGTCATATTCCGTGGGCCAAGAGTTAATTTAGCTAGAGAATTTCGACAACCACGACATTGGTTCCTGCCTGGTAGTTAGTTTAGGTAAAAGTTTGTTTATTTCAGGTGGCTTCTGTACATTGTTAGGGTTAATTAAAAACACTCACTGAGCCGGTTAAATGTGTAGCGACGCGTGGGTCGCTTCGTGTCGTTTTCCGGAATTTGGTACAACCCTGTCCGAGGAGGCGAGGAACTCTGGGAGAAAAAGTGACGTCACAGCCTCTTCCTTTGGAGGCCAAGATACGATAGGTCGGTATTGAAATTCAGGCAGGGTAATCTGTTAGATTTTTGTGTTGTCAGCGCCCATCTCTTCCCTAAAATGTTATAAAATGGTTTACTAAACATCAGTTGCCACCTACAACCCGATAGGTTTGATTTCCGACCGTGTAATTTGGTATATTTTTCGATTTATGCAGACTTAAGTTTTGGCTGGAACCTCGTGTCGTGATTGAGGGGAACGTTCGCTAGCTGTTGAAAATTTGTTAAATAGTGGATAATTCGAGAATTGGTATTCTCGGGGAGTAGTTTTCTCTCGTTCGGTGAGGCTAATTTTGTGTGCCCCCCTCGCCAAGACGAACGTAGGAGAAGGCGGTAGTGTTGAGTTGGACTTTGTAAATTTGGAGTCGGTCACGTGGCGGAGATTTGTCCGTTCGGCGAGGTTTGAGACTCGCTCCGAGGAACGGTATCAGATTCCGTGGGCCGAGAGTTAATTTAGCTAGAGAATTTCGACAACCACGACATTGGTTCCTGTCTGGTAGTTAGTTTAGGTAAAAATTTGTTTATTTCAGGTGGCTTCTGTACATTGTTATGGTTAATTTAAAACACTCACTGAGCCGGTTAAATGTCTTTCATGCTAAACTTTACTCTTGTAAAATATATAATAAATTGTTGAATCTGTTTAATTCTTCTCGTCATTATTGCCAGTACTTGGTCGAAATTTGTTAGTGAAAGCTGCAAGCGAAAGCGGCAGTCGAACCCATTGAGCACTTTTATTATTGTAACTACAGAGGTGACGTCCGCGGGGCGGCCACTAGCGGGTCGCGAGACGTCGTTCGTTACAATTGGAACCTCCGGCGGGACTCGATGCTAAAAAGATACCATTAGGAGTATAGGGAAAACTAAGGTTTAAAGGTCAAGATAAGTTATAAATAATTCTATCTGAAATTGGTTCGACTGTTTGATAACTACTTCTATTAAAAACTTAGTCATTAAGTGCTGGCAGTGATGGCGGAGGGCGGTGAGTTTAATTTTGATATATTTTTACACATGTATAGGACGCTTGTCATGCGCAGTTAGACTTAACGCTAACAACTGAGAAAAATATAACTTTTGATTGGATAGGTAATCAAGAATCGAAATTTGATTGGCTAATCTAACTTCTCACCATTTTGGGGTATACTAGTGTTTCCAAAGTTGAGCTGTGTCACTTTGGGCGCAGCATTTGATGAATAAAGATTGATATTTGGAAACTCAAAGAAGCCTTCTGGTATACTTCAGGTGAGTCAAGTTCATTTTAATTGTATTACATAGAATATGCTTATTTTTAATATCGAGACTCAGTTTAAATGGATCTTAATTATTATTTGTATTATTTTTATCTTTATCATTACTATTGATTTTTGATTTATCATAATGTATGTAAATATTTATTATTTTTGAGTTATTGTAAGATTTTATTAACGTAAACGTCAGATTTATATTGTACTTTTAATTTGATGATTTTAGATTATTTATTTCATTCATATCCCGTTTCGTCCGGAAATCCATTCCTTTCCGGAATCGGTTCTAATTTTATATGTACATGTTTTATTTCCGGATTGGTTATCGCGAAGTTTTAGAAGAATGCAAATCAGATATAATTGCGAGAATTTGACTAAATACTCATCATTATTTATAAGGGAGTATATTATTCAAAAAATGTGTTATATGGTTTACAACCCGAGAACTAGCCGCAGGCTGGTGATCGAAATGAATGGTTAATTTCAGTATCATGCTCATACACTGTAACGTATGCCTAATATGTTAGGCGTATATCCAAAATAATTCTAGGTGTAATATTGATATCATCTAAGCGTTATGCACTTATGTATGTCCATTTAGTTTCATTTTAGGTATTGTGAAATTTATTTGTAAATTTTATTGTGTCACTTTGGGCGCAGCATTTGATGAATAAAGATTGATATTTGGAAACTCAAAGAAGCCTTCTGGTATACTTCAGGTTACAGAACCCAGCAGAAACCCTCATACCAGTATTGTTATACTATATATAGAAGGCTAGTGGTATTGTTATACTGTATATGGAAGGCTTGTGGTATTGTTATACTATATATAGAAGGCTAGTGGTATTGTTATACTATATATAGAAGGCTAGTGGTAATGTTATACTATATATGGAATCTTCGAGAAGAACAATCACACAATCCACTCAAGGCTTAAACCTCTGTTCTGTTTCAGCATCTTCTAAATCTAATGAATAATTGATAGTCCACAAATCCTGTTAATTATCAAATATATCACTATATATAAGCAAGAACAGTATATTTATCACCAGTTGTACAATTAAATAAAGGGAACTTCAAACTGCTGTCTTACTGTCAATGCATTTATAAGATAAGTTTATCAGTGAACAGGATTCTTCATCAACTTACTGGACTGGATTATTTAGTTTCTTTTGTGAAAATCCTGGAAATATTTATTTGGTTTTGTAGGAATTCCAAGACCAGATCTTTCCAGAAGGCACGTTGCTCTTCCTGTAAAAGGCAACTGACTTAAGATGAACTAAAGTTTGGAATGTAGACTATAGGACATACTCCACAAATTAAAGAAAGCGAAATGCAACTAAAGCCTAAACAAAGCAAGGGACTTGTTATATTGATAGAAAACAGCATACCAAATTTAGTTAAAATCTGAAAAAAAATCCCAAATCATTAGACAGAAACCTTAAAACAGACAAGCAGACTGACAAACTAGACACAATAATCATAAAAAGTATATTTCAAAACTATCTTACATATACATTTATGTCATTCTACTCAAGGGTATCACTGCATGCCTAACAGACAACTGACATATCAAAGTTTCTATGAATTGGGATTCAGAAAATGGACCCTCATTGGTGAAGTTATGAAAATAAAATAAGGTTTGATCAAATATTTTTTCTAAATAAATTTTGGAGTTGATTGTTTCAACTGGATGGTTTTACTGCATAAAGATACTGATTTTATGAGAATATTTGTTGCAGTTGAAATATTTGTTTTCTTACATTTTCAGATACTTATTCCGCTGTTATTTTGTCATTTGCCCAATAAATCATTTTGTATATTGAACTGAATTATCTGTTTAACTCAATGGCACATGAACTTAAGAAAAGAAATTACTCGTACATAATCACACTAACTTTGTGCCGTCAAGATCAATTTCCCAATATCAGGTCAAAACACCAGTTGCTGAAATTCATTTTTATTCTCTATACGGTTTAACCAATAAGAAGGCAACCTAATTATCAGTGCTGTCTAAACTTTAGGATTTTGGATACTTTCAAGTAACCATTTAACATATTGGATTACAAAAAATGAATACTTGAGGCAGAAATTACATACCCATACCCCGATCTACATTAATCATTCAAAATCTAGACACATTGATTGCTTCTTCTCTTTTTCTCATCGATCAAGTCAAGCCTTAAATGACATTTAAACATTTTGAGAGTAGTGTAGTATCATCTGTGCCCTTATGCCTTTAACATGTGAGAGTAAAATTTCTGAATGAGGAAATTAATTAACCATTCAACTTCAATATGATCCTGGGCTAAAGCAAAGTCAGATAAAAAACATAGGTAAGAAAATTGCATGAACTTCGCACTCTGAGAAGCTTCTCCAACAGGTGTTCTGAAATTGGTCTAAGGGATAGTCAAAGCAGTGACTGACAACATTCTCCACACAAATATAATAATCAACCAAGCAAGTTACCCTGTGAGAAAAACTTCAGCTGTTGCATTGCTTCTAAAGAACAATTCTTCTGAAGGTACTGACCAAGCTGTTGCAGAAGGTCATTGCTTCTATATCAATGTCACAGGGCAAAGAAAACACAGCAGTCGTTCTCCTCCTTGTATCTATTTATAATCGGCGGACGCTCATGAGGAAAACCCTAAACACAAACAAACAAACGGCCTCATAAGAACACCTATTATTCTGTATGACAATGTGACAATGGACCGATATAAAAAATTAAACAATTATGATTCCAAATTTATAATTATTAATTAATGATTAATCAAATGTATAATATAACGTTTAATTACCTTCCAAGACCTGTACAAGGTCTGGTAAAATGTATCAAAGCCAGTTGTCTTGTCAAATTGGAACCAAGCGGACTCCCGAGGATACGTCCCCACCCTGGTCTACGGCCGACTGCGATAAATGCGCGGTTGTAAAATGGTTTGATATCCTTAACTTTCACACTAGCATGCTTTCCTCACAACTTACACCCTATTTAGCATATAACTTAATAACAACACCAAATATGGACAAGACAGGACGTACACGGGACATACACAGGACGTGCACATAGGACTATCGTGGCACAGGCAAAACACGTGAATATACTAAAAACTGGGAAAAGGTGTTTTCCCGTTCCACTACAGATAATATATATGTACCTGTCACATCAATATATAAACATGTGTGATAATGACAATTTATCTATATCATTTTACAACCCCAAAATCACCTATGTTACAACACTTTATCGCTTCATAAAATTTGTTGTGAATTATTAGATATTCGATAAGCACTTAATACAGTAGGTGTAATGAAGGACATTGCAATGTCCCTGAACTTACCACAGCAAATGCTTAACAAAGTGTTTGGGATGTAATAATACTCCTGTCCTACTGGTTTTACGTGCCTAAGGTTGATTTAGAATTTGATATCTGACAATATCTAAATGTACACCATTCAGAAACATTATTATTAATATGTTTATAATTTCTCTAATTGCTAAATATGGGCGGATGTCATATATTACTGCGTCTGCACACCAATCTATATCTAAATCAGACCTTACTGATGGGCTCCGCCTGATTGCTATAGTGACAGATGAAGTTTCACGTGTCTTTATACTTGAAAATATCTGCTTGTAATTGGAAAACGTGTAAATTTTCAGTAAGAAGCCACATCGACTCAACAGCGGTCATTTTGTTAATTCAGGAAGCTGAAATGGCATTATATTACTGATTGTAGCATAATAACATTCCTTCCAAATTTGGAATAAAATGGGACAATACCAACATTTTGACCGATCATTTACTTACACATACATGTAAATTCAATCAAATATTTGAGTTCACTTCTGTAACACATATTACAATAATAAAAGCAATTAAGAGGTCCCTCTAAGACATTGGCTTCCACTACTGTTTGATCTTTTAAAAAACATCTTTTCCCTGCTTTACTGTCAAATACAAGATGGCAACATGTCAGCCATTTTGCTTTTCTGGTCAAACAAAAATTAAAAGGTACAATTAGTGACCAAAAAGTACCTTTATAAGAAATTCAGTACTCTTTTCAAAAAAAAAAAAAAAAATGATTGTGAAGGGTATGCTATATAGAAAGAATAGTTGACAGAATAGATTTGATACAACACTCTCCGGCATATGCTTTTTGTGTGTATTGTGTAAAACTTAAAATGAGATGAATGTGACATGCCAAGTAATGATAATTATAAATCTGATTTGTGTGCGTAGTTTGCAAAGTTGTATAGCACATGTTTGTGATTGTAATGTTTAGTGTTAAGTTGTAAAACTTCAGCAAAAACAGAAACTGAAATCATAGTATATACCAGGCATTGCATAACATATATACGATGGAATAAAACTTGTTTTGCATTCGTTTATGCCAAATAGTAAAGAATGGTTATTATTGAAAAATATGTTGGATTTTGATTACAGGAAAATACAAAGTTAAATTGAAAAAGAAACGAAATACATGATTGATTTTCTGTGCTCTATGTAAAAATAGGGAAAATGTAACGTCACGAGCAGGGTTCGAACCTGCGCGGGAAGATCCCATTGGATTTCAAGTCCAACGCCTTAACCACTCGGCCATCGTGACTCACAGTTTTCAAGCGAGCAGTATTTTATAAACATATACAAAGTGAGGTTAGCCTCGTTTTAGTGATAAAGGTGAAGGCTGTTTGTGACTGACAACGTATGTAAACTTCCTGTTCAAGATTTGAGCCGAAATAAGATATTGTCAGATATTTATGTAAGTAATAGTGGTCAAGTCTAAGTTTATCCAACCACAGAATATGATCAATATGAAATCGACTTATACCATGTTGTCTACGTGATTGTAAATTTCCATCGACTACCGAGTCGCTTCAATACGCACATGCTTTCGTTTCCGCCATCCTTTTTCGATAATGCGTTAAGTAACTCCGACACAACGACCCTTTCTCTACGGAGGACAAAAAAACATCCTCAGACACAACGGTGTCCAGACAAAAGTAAACCCAAAACTGATTTATTACCAGGTACCTGACCATTCAGACATTTGTAAATTGCAAACAAAAGTAAAATATTCGGTACATGTATGTGTTGTCTAATTTGTTTACCGTTCAGTGTAGTACACAGTGTAATGCAATGGACATGTACAGCCAAATTGAATCTACTTGAAAAATGCACTCAGCAGTGTTTTTTTTTTTTTTTTTTTACAAAACATGTTATTTCTACAAAGTATAACTTCATTGGCTAGACTTAGTAGTGGTAGACTTTATCAATTTGTGTAAAAAGTAGGAAACATACAACTAATTGTATTTTTGAAATTTAGAAAAAAATAAGATTTGATAAACTCAGTTTTCTCTAAGGAATTAGGGATGTATTGTATCCAATTTAAAACCTTGTTATTTTACTCCCTTTATAGCAGACAGGGAAAAAATGAGTAAACTCAGGAATGAATGTGTGACTGCCAAACTGGCACTGGTTACTTCTGGAGTGACTAAGGATGTTATGATCTCGTATGACCAGGTGGATGAAGAAATCACCAAAAAGCTGCGGGGTATGTTATATATGTGATTTTTAAGGAAAGGACTGGAATTTTTGTCAATTTGTCACATAATTTCTGTTATGAGTGTAATACACACAATTCATGTTATCCAGTATAATAGCACAGAGATATAAAGCTAGCTTAATTCCTTCTGGGATTCCTCTTTGGGACTCACTTGTATTGGATGTTTGGCAATGCCTGTCCTATGATGAGGGACATTGTCCAATGTTTGGTATAAATGAGTCCCAATGAGGAATCCCTGAAGGGATTAGACCTAGCTGTGATTGGTGAAACATTTACCATTTCTGCTGTTTTGATTGTAACAAATCTGACTTATAGTGTCATCTGCATTGTGACTAAACCAAAAGCCCACGAGAATGATCTGATATTGATCAATATGATTGATCGCTGGTTTGGTAGATTTTTTGGTAAATGTTTGCAAAATATTTTACATGCATTTAAGTTTGATGTGATAGACAAAATGTTATGATATTTTTAAAAATTTGTAACAGATTTGTAAACCTCACCACTAATTTGGTAAAACATATAATTCTTCAGATTCCTTATGTAAATTCCATATAGAATGGAAGTCATAGCAATTTATTTTTATTGAAAAAAAAAAATCATTTTAGAAAATGAAACACCAACAAAAATTCAAGCTGACATGTGTTTTCAGAAAAGCTGGTGGGTGAGGGAATCCGGGCTTGGCTAGAAACTGAGGATATCAAGAGTGGAGCAGACATCTTTGCTAGAATAGGACAGGCTGTTGTGGATAGTAGTGTTAGTATAAGACTTATAACCCTGACAACACTAATTACAACCCTGACAACACTAGTTATTACCCTGACAACACAATTTATTACCCTGACAACACTTGTTATCAACCTGACAACACTAGTTATTACCCTGACAACACTAGCTCTAATCCTCACAACACTAGCTATAACCCTTACAACACTAGCTATAACCCTCACATCACTAGCTATAACCATCACAACAATAGCTATAACCCTGACAAACTAGTTATTACCTTGACAACACTAGCTATAACCCTCACAAAACTAGCTATAACCCTCACAACGCTAGCTATAACCCTGACAAACTAGGTATTACCCTGCCAACACTAGATATAACCCTCACAACACTAGCTTTAACCCTCTCAACACTAGTTACAGCCCTGACAAACTAGTTATTACCCTGAGAATACTAGTTATAACCATGACAACACTAGTTATAACACTGAAAACACTGGCCATATCCCTGACAAAAATAATAATAACCATAAAACATTAATGATAACCCTGACAACACTAGTTATTACCCTGACAACACTACATATAACTATGACAACTCTAGTTATTACCCTGACAACACTAGGTATAACCCTGACAACACTAGTTATTACCCTGACAATGCTAGTTATAACCATGACAACACTAGTTATAACACTGAAAACACTGGCCATATCCCTGAAAAAAATAATAATAACCATCAAACACTAATGATAACCCTGACAACACTACCTATAACCCTGACAAAACTAGCTCTAACCCTCACTTCACTAGCTATAACCCTTACAACACTAGCTATAAACCTCACAACACTAGCTATAACCTTTACAACACTAGCTATAACCCTCACAACACTAGCTATAACCCTGACAAACTAGTTATTACCCTGACAACACTAGCTATAACCCTCACAACACTAGCTATAACCCTCACAACACTGACTATAACCTTCACCACACTAGCTATAACCCTCACAACACTAGCTTTAACCCTGACAAACTAGTTATTACCCTGAGAATACTAGTTGTAACCTTGACAACACTAGTTTTAGCCCGGCAACATTAGTTATTAACCTGACAACACTAGCTATAACCCTGGCAACACTAGTTTTAACCCTGACAACACAATTTATTACCCTGACAACACTTGTTATAAACCTGACAACACTATTGATTACCCTGACAACACTAGTTTTTCACCTGACAACACTAGCTATAACCATAACAACACTAGTTATAACACTGAAAACACTGGCTATATCCCTGACAAAAATAATAATAACCATAAAACACTAATGATAACCCTGACAACACTAGTTATTACCCTGACAACACTACATATAACTATGACAACTCTAGTTATTACCCTGACAACACTAGGTATAACCCTGACAACACTAGTTATTACCCTGACAACACTACCTATCAATATGACAACACTAGTTATAAACCTTGTAACACTAGCTATAACCCTGACAGCAATAGATATAACCCTCACAACACTAGTTATAACCCTTACAACACTAGCTATAACCCTCACAACACTAGCTATAACCCTCACAACTCTAGCTATAACCCTGACAAACTAGTTATTACCCTCACAACACTAGCTATATCCCTGACAAACTAGTTATTACCCTCACAACACTAGTTATAGCCCTGACAAACTAGTTATTACCCTGAGAATACTAGCTATAACCTTGACAACACTAGTGATTACCCTGACAACACTAGTTTTTCACCTGACAACACTAGTTATAACCATAACAACACCAATGATAACCCTGACAACACTAGTTATTACCCTGACAACACTACATATAACTATGACAACTCTAGTTATTACCCTGACAACACTAGGTATAACCCTGACAACACTAGTTATTACCCTGACAACACTACCTATCAATATGACAACACTAGTTATAAACCATGTAACACTAGCTATAACCCTGACAGCAATAGATATAACCCTCACAACACTAGTTATAACCCTTACAACACTAGCTATAACCCTCACAACACTAGCTATAACCCTCACAACTCTAGCTATAACCCTGACAAACTAGTTATTACCCTCACAACACTAGCTATAACCCTCACAACACTAGCTATAACCCTCACAACACTAGCTATATCCCTGACAAACCAGTTATTACCCTAACAACACTAGTTATAGCACTGACAAACTAGTTATTACCCTGAGAATACTTGCTATAACCTTGACAACACTAGTGATTACGCTGACAACACTAGTTTTTCACCTGACAACACTAGTTATAACCATAACAACACCAATGATAACCCTGACAACACTACATATAACTATGACAACTCTAGTTATTACCCTGACAACACTAGGTATAACCCTGACAACACTAGTTATAACCCTGACAACACTAGTTATAACCCTGACAACACTAGTTATAACACTGACAACACTATAACACTCCCTGACAAAAATAATAATAAACCCTCAAACACTAATGATAACCCTGACAACACTAGCTATAAACCTCACAACACTAGCTATAACCCTCACAACACTAGCTATAAACCTCACAACACTGTCTATAACCCTCACAACACTAGCTATAACCCTGACAAACTAGCTATAACCCTGACAAACTAGTTATTACCCTGATAACACTAGCTATAACCCTCACAACACTAGCTATAACCCTATAACCCTCACAACACTAGCTTTAACCCTGACAAACTAGTTATTACCCTGCCAACACTAGCTATAACCCTGACAACACTAGCTTTAAACCTCACAACACTAGCTATAACCCTGACAACACCAATTATAGCCCTGACAAACTAGTTATTACCCTGAGAATACTAGTTGTAACCTTGACAACACTAGTTTTAACACTAACAACACTAGTTATAACCATGACAACACTAGTTATAACCCTGACAACACTAGTTATTACCCTGACAACACTAGGTATAACCCTGACGACACTAGTTATTACCCTGACAACACTACATATAACTATGACAACTCTAGTTATTACCCTGACAACACTAGGTAACCTTGATAGTATTCAACCCTGACAACACTAGCTATAACCCTGATAACACTAGTTATAACCCTGACAACACTAGCTATAACCCTGGCAACACTAGTTTTAACCCTGACAACACAATTTATTACCCTGACAACACTTGTTATAACCCTAACTGTTTCTTTAGCTCGGCATGTTTATTTTTTTACCTGACAACACTAGCTATAACCCTGACAACACTAATAATAACACTAATGATAACCTGACAACACTAGTTATAACCCTGACAACACTAGCATATAACTAGTTATTACAACACTAGTTATACCCTGACAACACTAGCTATAACCCTGACAACACTAGTTATTACCCTGACAACACTAGTTATTACCCTGACAACACTAGTTATAACCCTGACAACACTAGTTATTAACCCTGACAACACTACACTATATATGACAACAATAATAATAACCAACACTAGCTATAACCCTGACAACACTAGACATAACCCTATACAACACTAGTTATAAACACTGACAACACTGGCTATATCTATAACCCTCACAACACTAGCTATAACCCTGACAACACTAGTTATAACCCTGACAACACTAGATATAACCCTGACAACACTAGTATAACCCTGACAACACTAGCTACAACACTAGTTATAACCTATCACAACACTAGCTATACAAAATGGTTATATACCCTGACAACACTAGCTATAACCCTCACAACACTAGCTATAACCCTGACAACACTAGCTATAACCCTGACAAAACTAGTTATAACCCTGACAACACTAGTTATAACCCTGACAACACTAGCTAGCCCTAACACTAGTTATAACCATGACAACACTAGTTATAACCCTGACAACACTAGTTATTACCCTGACAAAATGGTTATTACCCTGACAACACTAGCTTTAACCCTCACAACACTAGCTATAACCTTGACAACACTAGTGATTACCCTGACAACACTAGATTTTTACCTGACAACACTAGTTATAACCATGACAACACTAGTTATAACCCTGACAACACTAGTGCTATAACCCTATACTAACCCTGACAACACTAATTATGACAACACTAGTTATAAACCTTGTAACATAGCAAACCCTGACAACAATATGAACACTACCCTGACAACACTAGCTATAACCCTGACAACACTAAACTATAATATAACCCTCAGCAACACTAGTTATAACCCTGACAACACTAGTTATAACCCTGACAACACTTATAACCCTGACAACACTAATAACCCTCACAACACTAGTTATAACCCTTACAACACTAGCTATAACCCTTACAACACTAGCTATAACCCTCACAACACTAGCTATAACCCTCACAACACTAGCTATAACCCTGACAAACTAGTTATTACCCTGCCAACACTAGCTATAACCCTCACAACACTAGCTTTAACACTCATAACACTAGTTATAGCCCTGACAAACTAGTTATCACCCTGAGAATACTAGCTATAACCTTGACAACACTAGTGATTACACTCACAACACTAGTTATCACCCTGAGAATACTAGCTATAACCTTGACAACACTAGTGATTATCCTGACAACACTACCAATAACCCTGACAACACTAGCTATAAACCTCACAACACTAGCTATAACCCTCACAACACTAGCTATAACCCTGACAAACTAGTTATAGCCCTGACAAATTAGTTATTACCCTGAGAATACTAGCTATAACCTTGACAACACTAGTTATTACCTTGACAACACTAGCTATAACCATGAAAACACTAGTAATTACACTGACAATGCTAGTTATAACCCTGACAACAATAGCTATAAACATGACAACACTAGCTATGACCCCAACAACACTAGTTATAAACCTGACAACAATAGCTATAACTGTGACAACACTACATATGACCCCAACAACACTAGTTATAACCCTGACAAACTACTTATTACCCTGAAATTACCAGTAATTACCCTGACAATGCTAGTTATAGCCAGACAACATTAGTTATTACCCTGACAACACTAGCGATAACCCTGACATCACTAGCTATAACCCTGACAATACTAGTTATAACCTAATAGCACTAGTGCTTAACCTTACCACAATAGATATAACCCTGACAACACTAGCTATTACCCTGATAACACTAGCTATAACCCTGACAACACTACTTATAACCATGACAGCAATAATTATAACCCTTAAAGCATTATTTAAATGACTGATAACACTAGTTATAACCCTCACAACACTAGCTATAAACCTTACAACACTAGCTATAACCCTGACAACCCTAGTTATTACAATAACAACATAAGTGATATCTTTGACAACACTAGTCATTACCCTGACAACACTATCTATAACCCTGACAACAATAACTATAACCCTCACAGCACTAACAATAACCCTTACAACACTAGTTATAATCTTGACAACACCAGTTAATACCCTGAAAACACTGGTTATAACCCTAACACTTGTTTTAGCCCGGCAACATTAGTTATTAACCTGACAACACTAGCTATAACCCTGGCAACACTAGTTTTAACCCTCACAACACTAGATTTAACCCCCACAATACTAGTTATAACCATTACAACACTAGCTATTACCCTGACAAAATGGTTATTACCCTGACCACACTGGCTATAACCCCAATCACAAAAAATTATAACCATAAAACACTAGTTATAACCCTGACAACACTAGTGCTTACCCTTACCACAATAGCTATAACCCTGACAACACTAATTGTTACCTTCACAGCAATAATTATAACCCTTGAAGCATTAGTTAAAGCCCTGACAACAATAGTTATTACCCTGACAATGCTAGTTATAACCCTGACAACAATGACTATAACCGTGACAACACTAGTTATAACCCCAACAACACTAGCTATAACCCTTACAACACTAGTTATTACCCTGACAACACTAGTTATAACCCTGACAACACCAGTTATTACCCTGACAACACTGGTTATAACCCTAACAACACTAGTTTTAGCCCGGCAACATTAGTTATTAACCTGACAACACTAGCTATAACCCTGGCAACACTAATTTTAACCCTCACAACACTAGTTTTAACCCTCACAACACTAGCTATAACCATTACAACACTAGCTATTACCCTGACAAAATGGTTATTACCCTGACAACACTAGCTTTAACCCTCACAACACTAGTTATAGCCCTGACAAACTAGCTATTACCCTGAGAATACTAGTTGTAACCTTGACAACACTAGTTTTAACACTAACAACACTAGTTATAACCTCGACAACACTGGCTATATCCCCAATTACAAAAAATTATAACCATAAAACACTAGTTATAACCCTGACAACACTAGTGCTTACCCTTACCACAATAGCTATAACCGTGACAACACTAGTTGTAACCTTCACAGCAATAATTATAACCCTTGAAGCATTAGTTAAAGCCCTGACAATGCTAGTTATAACCCTGACAACAATGACTATAACCGTGACAACACTAGTTATAACCCCAACAATACTAGCTATAACCCTTACATCACTAGTAATTACCCTGACAATGCTAGTTATAACCCTGACAACAATAGCTATAACCGTGACAACACTAGCTATAACCTTGACAACACTAGTTATAACCCTTACAACACTAGTTATTACCCTGACAACACTAGCTATAACCCTTACAACACTAGTTATAACCCTTACAACACTAGTTATTACCCTGACAACACTAGTTATAACCCTGACAAAACTAGTAATTACCCTGACAATGCTAGCTATAACCCTGACAACCCTAGTTATTACATTAACAACATAAGTGATATCTCTGACAACACTAGTCATTACAATGACAACACTAGCTATAACCCTCACAACACTAGCTATAACCCTGACAAACTAGTTATTACCCTGAAAACACTAGTTATAACCCTGACAACACTAGTTATTACCCTGGCGACACTAGTTATAACCTTGACTATTCTTGTTATAACCCTGACATCACTAGTTATTACCCTGGCGACACTAGTTATAGCCTTGACTATTCTTGTTATAACCCTGGCAACACTAGTTATAATCCTTACAGCTTTAGTTGTAACTTGAACAACACTAGTCATAATCCTTACAGCTTTAGTTGTAACTTGGACAACACCAGTTGTAAACCTGACAACACTAATCTTTGTTTGTCTGTGTTTTATTTTTTCCAGATTTTCTTGTTTGTCATGAATACAGAGTCAGTTAGGTCTAAGATTTGTCAGGATCAGCTTGCTTTAGCTTATGTCTCAAACAAATCAATTCTTCCAGTTGCTCTGCTTCCAAACCAAGAACTTCTCAATCTCATGGACAATGGAATGTAAGTTTGTAATGTTATTTTTGATATAATTATGTGATTTATTAATGATTATAGATCATACATACAGGGCTTGTAAAAGGACCAAAACAAGGGTTAGCCTGATAGCAATGATCCATTCAGGTTTCAAATGTAAAATATATTACACCTAACATGCTTGCAAAATGAAACAGGAGTGTGCTCAGTTGGGTTTACTTAGATACATCCTCGACACTTCAGAGGTGACAATCACGTTTACTGTCTGCACCTCTGAAACATATCATAGCAAAATTGAAGATTCCATGTGCGACACCTCGTGGACAGAAAACGATAGTTTGATCCTTTGATGTACATAAAACAAATCTTGGGGTCACATTGTGGTATATTGTCATTTTTAACTATTGTAATACTGGTAAGATTTTAGCTCACCTGGTCTGAAGGTCAAAAGCATCCATAGGGGAGAACCTTTTTTCAAATCTCCCTGCGTCCGTGGTCCGTCCGTCTGTCCGTCCTTAAACAATTCTTGTTACCGCTATTTCTGGAAAAGTACTGGATGGATCTTTGTCAAATTTCATATGGAGCTTCCCCTTGATCCCTAGTTGTGCATTGTACCTTTTTTGGACTGATTCGAATTCAAGACGGCCATCTTGGATTTTGAAAAGTTTGTTATCGCTATTTCTGAGAAAATACTTGATGGATCTTTCTCAAATTTCATGTGCAGGTTGCCCTTGGTCCCTAATTGTGCATTTTACCTTTTTTGGACTGATCTGAAATCAAGATGGCTGAGTTCAAGACCCACAGATCTCGTTGTTAGTTGCCATGTACCAACCACAGAAAATATGTTTTTTTCCCAAATACTCTGGCTTTCCACCAACATCCAAACATCGCACATCTTAATTTAAATGACCCTGGCAAAATACAAACAAAAAGTGTATTTCAATACATCCAGTGTCCTTGATACATGATGTATATACAAATACCCCAATGCACAACTAGTTGGCCTGTGCAGATCACCCTACAGCTATGAGTCAATAACCACCTTCAGTTTGAATATCATGCATACCTGGTATATACAACACTTATTTCACACAAGCATATTTTCTTCGATATTCTATCATATTGATTCAAGACCATGTCCATTATCCACCTGTAACTGACTGCTATCTAATAATTATATTATATTAAATTATATTTGCTAATAGGTTCTTAATAAAAATATCTTGTGCCATCATTGAGTACATTCAATGAAGACCAGTTCATTTACATTTAAAACACCTGTAACAAACAAACAAAAAATAAACAAATCTTTAAGAACTGAAAACAGATCCTCAAATGGTGGGCGCCAAGATCCCACTGGGATATCTTGTAGTATAAAAAGTGTGTCTCGGCCCCCATAAAGAGATGAGCACATGCATAATGTAAGAACCTTGGGTGTAAATTCTGTGTGATATATTTGAAAGTTGAAATCCTCACCCCATTAACCATACATGTATAGAACTGCTTGGCCTCAAGAGATAAACACATTTGTTATGTATGTGTGGCACACCTCAAGGGACATTCATTCTGGCTTATATTTTTCATATAGTTGAGATACCATCCTGATAACCATGTTAACTCTTACTGTGAATTAAAAGAGAAAGACACTAATGATATAAGAATTTACCCATTGGTTTTGCCCCGTCAAAATAGTAAAGTGACTTAACTTTGATATGGAAATAATTGAAATAACCAACCTATAGGCATGTATAAAATCTTTGGGCTTTAAGATCCAGGTGAGACCTTATGGGCCCCTTGTTTTTTCCAGGAATAAATTAAATGACTTTGTATTGTGCCTTCAGTTTTGCAATGACATGTTAAATTTTCTGTTTTAGAAAATAACTTTTTATATTTATTACAAATGGTAAAAATTCAGCCATATTACTGAGTGGTTTGGTATCCTGTAGGTGAACCAAAGTGTTGAATTATGTCTACTGGCAGAGTATTGTGATTATCAACTGGTTTTGGGATTTACTGGGCTCACATGTTCTCTTTTCTAGATAAATGAGATGAAACTTCACTAAGAGAGTCTGATTGGCTAATTGAAATATTTAAATGAGCATTAGATACATTCCTTTTGATAAGATAAATGTCCACTTTTGGTTTTACTTGCAGATTATTTTCTTCATTATCTTGAGGAAGTTTAAATGATATATGTTGTGTTTCACAAACACATTTGATCAAATCTAGTTTTTCTTTAAAATTCCATTACATGCCTCTTAGCTGCTTACATGTAGCTACAGGGGGTTGACAATGGTAGTCAAAATATCGCAATATGTGTCTGAAGTGATAGTCAGTATATCACAATTTGTTTCTGTAGTGATAGTCAGTATATCACAATATGTGTCTGTAGTGACAGTTAGTATATCACAATATGTGTCTGTAGTGATAGTCAGTATATCACAATTTGTGTCTGTAGTGATAGTCAGTATATCACAATATGTGTCTGTAGTGATAGTCAGTATATCACAATTTGTGTCTGTAGTGATAGTCAGTATATCACAATTTGTGTCTATAGTGATAGTCAATATATCACAATATGTGGCTATAGTGATAGTCAATGTATCACAATTTGTGTCTGTAGTGATAGTCAGTATATCACAATTTGTGTCTGTAGTGATAGTCTGTATATCACAATATGTGTCTGTAGTGATAGTCAGTATATCACAATATGTGTCTGTAGTGATAGTCAGTATATCACAATATGTGTCTGTAGTGATAGTCAGTATATCACAATTTGTGTCTGTAGTGATAGTCAGTATATCACAATTTGTGTCTGTAGTGATAGTCAATATATCACAATTTGTGTCTGTAGTGATAGTCAGTATATCACAATATGTGTCTGTAGTGATAGTCAGTATATCACAATATGTGTCTATAGTGATAATTTACTGAAATATCATTTCTAGTATCACATATCACGGCACCTCTCTAAGATTATAGAGACTAGAGAAGCTTAGGTGATTTTGTAAAGAATTTTTCATTGGAACCCAAATTCACCTTGTTTTTATGTGTTTTTAAACTTGTGTGGTCAAAATGATGAAGTTTCCAGTACATCACTGCTTTATTTCAAGCTAGTGCTATCTTATGTATGCATTTGTTGTACGAAAAAATATCGTTGAAATAAAGTACGTTAAAAACATTATACATAGTGCATGAATTAATCTAGAAATTGGGGAATAATAACCATTGTGGAAGAAAGAGAATGTTTGGGTTATTTGGAGAAATGTAAGAATTCTAGGCTGTCCTTTTGGTCACAGTTGAAAAGAGGGATAGGGTAACACTTTATGACATTCATGAAGATAACAAATAAAATGTCACAATGATGAGGTTAGACTGATAATTCCTTTTCATTATAGCATGATTTGAAAACATGTCAAGTAAAAACATATTACTTAGTTCTGTTTTTGGGAAAGTTTTCTCTATTTTGGGGAAATTTTCCCATACGTAAAGTATATTTTCTTGGAGAAGGATTTATTTATATTCTGAGGAGACTTACCACTTGGGGAAGATTAGATGTCTAGATTAATATATATATAATAAACTAAACCTCATAAAACATATATTTTCATGTGAAATGATGAAATGGGGTGTAGGGTGTTGATGGTTCACTCCAGACACTGTTCACACAGATACATGTGCAATGCGTAAAATTCTTCATGCGCACGCATCGCAGGTGTTGCCAATACAGGCGAGTTTTCATGGAGAAGTGTCCTTGGTAAAGTGGTCTATCCCAAAAACCTTCCTTCACAGAAGGTAGCGCGAATAATGCTCATGAAACATGATGTCATGATTAACACAATTACAGAGAGAAATGGCTCTTGGAAGTTTGCTTGCGGGCACTAGTGTAGCCAGGCACTTGGGATATCATGTTAGCACTATCACCAGGCTTGCTGGATGCTTCTGACGTATGGGTTCTGTTTCTGATCGTCCACTGACAAGGAGACCAAAGGTGACAAGTCAGGATCAAGGTTGCTACACCCAGGTAGCTCACTTTCGTAACCAGACCCAGCCTGTAACAAAAATAACAGCTACCATCAGAGTTAGAAGACATCTGATGTTGCCTATCTGAACATGGCATTAACTGTTGACGTCCTTACGTAAGACATATTCTCATTCAATACCATCGACAGCAACATCTTCAATGGGCAAGGCATCATCAATGATGGCATCATGTCGACTGGTAACGAGTTCTCCTTTCAGATGAGTCTCGATTCCATCTTTCCCATGGTGATGGTGGATTGTTTGTGTGACTTCGGTCGTAACATTCGATTGTTGTGTCCTGCAGGCTAACAGATGGGGTGGCAGCAGCATGATGGTATGGGGAGTCTTCAGCTACCACAATGAGATACCTCTTCATGTCTTCCGTCAATGTGTAACAAGGATGGTGTGTAGGGATGACGTTCTCAGGCCTTACGTTGTTCCCTTGTTTGCTGCACAGCTGCAACTGCAGTCTTACCAGCAAAACTGTACGCTCGTCTCCACACTGCTCAAGTACCTATGGGTTTCCTTACTCAGAATAATGTGAATGTCCTCCCTTGGTTATCTCTTTCACCAGTTATGCCACTGATAGAACGTGTGTGGGATGAAATGGGGAGGAGAGTCGCTGGTGGAGCTCTGTTGACGTTAGCACAGCTGGAACAGAGACTCGTCCAGGAATGGAACAATTTGCACCAGGATGTCTTCCAGACTCTCAGCAATTCCATGAGACGACCTGCAATGCCCAAGGCAGACAGACGCATTATTGACTGAATTGTGATTTTCCTGTCATTAAATAGACAATAGAAATTGTATATTCTATGAAATGAAATCTAGGTATATTTTGTTTAATTGCAATTTTAACAAACTATTGAATAAAACAGTAAAAGGTCACGTATCTTATATCACAATATCCCAGTAAATATCACAATATATGTTTGCATAACCTGCCCTTATCATCTACTCAACAAAATAGATTTTGATTTTGAACTAAAAACATGACTTACAGTAAGAAGAAAAAGTGCAGACAATTACCAACTACATGTATAATATTATGTGAAATTGTGTTTAAAGTTTCTGGCTCAAAGTAATGTAAGAGAGATAACTCTTTATAAAATACCATCTTATTAAGAAAATATGTTTTGGTTCCAGGCGCTTGGAGCTTGCTGGATTTGAATGGTTTCCTCTGTCAGAAGAAGACCTAGTAGAAAATTTGAGGGATATCACCAACCAAGTATTCAAACTTCTGGAAGAGATTAAAAAAAAGGAAAATAAAGGTTGGTTAATTGGAAAGTTTAATTTAAAAACAGAACTCAGTTATTGGATCTGATCTTGTCAGAATTATGTTATTCGCCTTGAAGATCACACATTCCCTACTCGTGATGGTGGACATCTTGTGTGATGTTCTGTGAGGTATCCACCAGCTGAAGTTTCTGTTACATTTGTTGGAAAACTGGGTCCTGATTGACCAGTTGGTAGAGTGTTATGTGTGTCTTTATAACATCAAGTGATTATACAATGTGTGTGGTTTGATGTTCCTTAACCTTTGTTTGCGTTTCTCAGGAAGCTGAGAAATGAACTGGTCAGTTCTTGGGCAAGATACCTGTTTACATCAAATTACACTGGGTGACATTTGACGGGTCGCTATATATGTTTTTCATCAGACCAGGCTATGATCATGGCAATAGACTCACATGAGTGCTCGTGCATTGTAATTTATTGACCATTTGAAAGAAAAAACCACATATGCTTTGTAAAACGCTACAAGGTTTGAGAATAGGCATTTATGAAAAAATACCTGGTAATAACTTCACACTTTCACTTTCTGATGTGTTTCATTCTGCTTAGCTTCAGTTTTCAATTCATGTTTAAAAATTGTGAGATATGACTTATTTAGTTTTGCAACTCACATTTGTGAGATATGACTTATTTAGTGTTGCAACTCACATTCCTCAACTGGTGTTCATTAGTTTGCCTTTTGGTTCTGTTGTTGAATACTTTGTTCCCATTTGAGAATTGACAAGACTTACTTGGATTGACTTAGATTTACTTGGAGAGTGTCGTGGATGAAGCAGAAGACACTTACTCCTCTGCAACACCTGGTTTTATTCTCTGTATACTTTTTCAGGAGTTTCTATGTATATCTTTCTGTATACTCCCTTCCAAAAAACACAGGGTGGTTGGTATACTAGAATGAGCTCGACTGTCTGTAGGGAAGTTTTGTCCAGACAAATCCTCCTAAAATTGAAGAGCAAATGGAATGATATTACATGGGAATGTTGGTCACCATGTGTAAATTCACATCTCGTATTTGTTAGCAGACAGTTTGGGTTGCTATAGTAAACAGGTCACCATACACAGTTTTTAATTGAAAAATGTTGTCTGGAAAACTCCTCCTTAACCTATGAACCGATTTCAATGAAACTACATAGAAATATTAGGCACCATGAGTAGCTGTGCATGCAGGTTTTTTTTTGTTTTTTTTTAATTTTTTGGGTTTTTTTTTTTGCAGTAATGTTGGGCTCCATGGAATCCACGTCAATATCAACAGGTTTTTATGTAATGGCCACAACTCATCAATCTTTTTATCAATTTTATTGGAACATGGTCAGGTGGTGTAACTTATCAATCAGGTGTCTGGAAAAATAGTTTAAACCACTGGGCACAGACTAGTGGACTGAAAAATTTACTCGTCCGGATGGGAAATTTACTCATTCAAATTTAGCTATGAAATGGTGACTTAATCAGCGAGGATGTCACATGTGACTTTTTTCTATTTTTAGCTCACCTGGCCCAAAGGGTCAAGTGAGCTTATGCCATAGCGCTGCGTCCGTCCGTCCTGCATCTGTAAACTTTACATTTAAACAACTTCTTCTGAAATACCGAAAGGCGTAGAGTTGTCATATTTGGCTGGAAGGTTTCTTTGATGCAGCCCAACAAAGTTTACTTAAAGAAATGACCTTGACCCATATTCCAAGTCACAGGATCAAATGTGTTAAAACATTTAAACGACTTCTTCCAAAATACCGGAAGGCCTAGAATCATTATATTTGGCTGAAAGGTTCCTTTGATAAAGACCAACAAAGTATGTTGATAGAAATGACCTTGACCCATATTTAAGGTCACAGAGGTCAAATGTGTTAAAAAATTTAAGGTACTTCTTCCAAAATGCCGGGAGGCCTAGAATCATTATATATGGCTGACAGAATCCTTTGATGAAGTCCAACAAATTTTGCGAAAAATATAACCTTGACCCATATTCAAGGTCACAGAGGTCAAATGTGTTAAAACGTTCAAACAATTTCTTCTGAAAAATCGAAAAGCCTAGATCGTTATATTTGGCCTGTATGTTCCTTTTATGAAATCCATGAAAGTTTGCAAAAAGAAATCACCTTGACCCATAGTCAAAGTCACAAGGGTCAAATGTGTTAAACCTTGAAATGACATTTTCTAAATATCCAAAACATCTAGGGTAGTGATATCATTCTGAAATAGGTTTTCAATGATGCCCGGTAATATTTGAGAACAGAAATGACCTTGACCCATATTCAAGGTCACAACAGTCGAATGCATTAAACCTTTGAACAACTTCTGATTAACCGAAAGGCCGAGGATCATAATATTTTGCCAAAAGGTTCCCTTAATGGTGCCCACATAATGTGTGAAAAAAATAACTTGATCCATAATGATAATTAAGGTCATTGGGGTTAAATTTGGTAAAATAGTTAAACAACTTCTTCTGATTAACCAAAAAGCCATCATATTTGGCCAGTAAAGGCTTATATACAAATATGTAGAACGTTCCTGTCTTAATGAATGGGACATATTTGGCTGGGAGTTTTTGGAATAAATTATAAAACCTTTCACAGTGATGTCACACAAAAATAGATTAGGCCAAGCCCCCTGGAGGTCTCAGAGGCTTGAGCTAAGTAATGTGAAAAACTACATGTTAGCCAATTACTTATGTTCTATTCACAGCATTAAAATACAGACAACACGATCCGAAAGAGAATTGCAAGAGCTTCAGATTCTTCATAATTATAGCATAGATAAATAAGAAATTCTAAGTTGATCACATTTGCCATGCAGTGTTTATAGGCTTACAGTAAACTGTTATCAGTAATCTCCAGTAACCGGGGCTTAACTGACCAGAGTGACATCACTAATAATATGCATGAAATGTTTTATTATTGATTTTGAATTAGGATTATGGTTTATAATCACATGAACCTTAATTTTTTCTGTCTTTATATTTAATTGTTGCTATATATTGTTGACTTGTGCAAGTCTCAAATATGTTGTATCTGTGTTTTAAACAATGATCTAAAGGTCAAGTAAGCTTCTGCTGTCCGGGGTCATCCGTCCAGCTATAACTAAGAGTTTTTCTGCTATATTGTTTGACCATCTTCTTTCCTTGATTTAAAAGAAAGCTATCAATTATATTTAAATGGAATCATCATAAGAAGGCCTCTGGGCCTCTTGTTATTTTAAGTTTGAATGAAAAAACTATGCAGTGATGGCTGCTTTGTGTCAGACTTGTGTGCGACTTAGGCCTAGCCGTAGTGTTTGTTTACATCCAACTGACTAGGTGCTGCTAAATACAGACCGTTACATGTTGGTAACGCCCGAGAGAACCTGACATCAGTAATACAGCGGAAAAGGACTAAGGTATTCAGAATGCTATATTTGACGTCATGGGAGTTCCGGTGTAATCAAAAGTTAGAGTGCAGACTGGAATATTTGGTTTTTGAAGTACTGTAAACACGTTCCTTTGTTTTAAATTTTCTTTACATTTTTATTGAAATTTGAATTTTAACTTTAATATCATTGGAAAAATTACTCGTCCGACGGACGACTGACAAAGATAAATCTGGTTGTTCGAGACATTTTTCACTCATCCATGACGACCGAACAAGTGCTTTTCCCGACCCTTGTCCATGCGTGTAATTCTGATCATCAGGTATTTATATAAGTATTACTATGGAAACAATCAGTTGTGCTGAAAATTGAAATACGTATAGGGGTTGTGAGGGAAAGCATTTACAATGGTACCATTTTCAATAGCACAGACGCCATTAAGTAGTAATTGTAATGACATAAGGCCTATGATTAGACTGCTCCTGTCTACACTGAAACTACACAGGGATGTTGGGGACTATGTGTAGATGTGTAATTAGGCATGCAGATTTTTTAGCAGAAATTCGGGTTGCTATGGTAACCAAGTCACTATACATAAGTTTTCAAATGAAGTGCCATAACTCTTAGCCCATTAATTTATTTTAGTTAAACTTGCTCAGGTATTACAACTAATATAATTTGATATATTAGATCTTCCAAAACCATTACCACGGAAACATATTGGAGGCTTCTAATATGCCAAAATTAAGATATTATCTTATTAAGTTAAAATTTTGTATAAAAAACATTTAGGGGGATGAAAAATACAATGATACCATTTGCGAAAAGAAGATGGTTTTCATTTGGTGGCAATGGTGACCAAATGAAGACCTATTGGAGGAGGTCTTGTTGGGATAACTCCCCCAGAACTAATTGTTGGTGTGGGAGCAAGGGAGCAGGGCGGATATTAGGCCGCCATCCCAGCATCAGTTTTAGTTGTTTTCACATTTCACCCTAGTTTTACTTGAATTTGAGTTTTGATTAATTGCTGAATATATGACCCATCAGGTCAAAATATCAAAACGTTTTTGTTTTCTTATAGGCAATTCATCAAAACCAGAATCACCAGTTAAGTCAAGACGAATGCTCAACCGATCAGTTTCACGGCAAATCAGCTTGAAGGAGTCCAAACTTTTTTTGGAGGATGGTGTTGCGTACTGGTCACGATCTTTTGGGAAATCTGTAAACGTGGCCTGGGAAAAGTATTTTATACCTAACTGGCTCTGTCATATCTGATAAATGAAAGTCTAAAATCAGTTTTAATGGAATGTTTATAAGTTTAGTCAAATTATTTATGAACAATTGTATAAATGCTGACTGTTGAGGCCTCCTTATTTTATTCCAGTCACAACTAAACAAAGTCAAAAGGTTAAAGTGAAAATAAATTTAACCTCAAAATTTCAGAGGTGAATGTGATCAATTATGATTTGTACAGATAACTTCAATTACTGATTGGGTGTTTATTTTCGCTAGCAAAAAAATTACTCATTTTTATTTAAAGATTGTAAAAAAGATACACAAGTGAATAGCAACTTTTAATAAATTTTGAAGCCTAAGAGGGGACTAAAATCCAAAGTGATTGAAAGAAAAGTCAAAATCTAGACGGGAAAGTGCAACAGCCTCATAATAAAGTAAATTTTGTAATTTTCATGTATCATAGTTTAAGAACACTGTCAAGTGCATGCTATTATTTGATGTGAATTAAAAGTGGTTTGCAAGCTACAACAAACCTTGGGGATTTAAAGTCGACTAGCAGTATCTGTAAGATCGTACAAAAGACACATACATGAATAACACCTTCTAATATTCTATAGGGTTAGATGCAGTAGAGCCAAACAATGAATTAAACATCATATTGCTGTTTTGTCCTTCTAGGACTTGTCAATGCTGCTAAGGGCCTTCATTTTGAAGCTAAGGTGTCAAATAAGGAAAATCCAAAGTGATCAAAAGAAAAGTCAAAATCTAGACAGGGAGGTGCAGCAGTTTCATAATTACATAGATTTTGTAAATTTCATCAGTCGAATAACTTAAAGGTAGAGGATTAAATTTAAATGAGTTAAAGTTTTGCATATGAAAGAATACCTAGATTTAAGAAATAAAGCTCTGAATCGTGTCTAGTTTTAAATACATGGAAGGTGATTTAGAATTTGAATTAGAGCTAAATTAATGATAACGATATACACTTATAGTCATACTTGGATACAGAAGAATGTCTTATACCATTACTGCCTACGTGCAGTGTGATTTCTTGTTTGTCTTAATGTCAAAGTCATTGCCATTATATCATTTTTCAAGTCAATGTCACTGACCTTGTCAGCCTCGGTTTCAAGGTCAATGTAATCCTAAATGTGAAATGAAAATTTCTTTATTTTCTATAATAGGTTTAAAAGACAGATTTTGACTGACTTTAAAGAGGATTTCGACAAAACGTTTGGAGAAGAAGATACAGAATGGTTACTGGCTATTCTACATAGAGAACTGGAAATCGGTGCTGAGGAAATCGTAAAGAGAGATAATTATATAGGTGGGTGGTTTATATAATTTTGTTGGATTCGATCCCCACTTAATTAAGGTGGTTTTGTTTTCTCATAATACTTGCATGGTTGTGTCCTGGGGCAAGACATAATTGCTCTGGAGGGCTTTCTGTATATTGTTCAGTGCGGTGTCCATCAGCTTCTATACAAGTAGATGCCTCAAAATTACTGTTCAGGGGGTAATACACACTGAAACAATTCCACATTAGGGGAATATGGAAAAAACACAATAAGTTGTCAGCATTAACATAATGGAGTGAAGAGAACATCCATTTTTTAAAAATCCATCTGCAACATCTAATAGTAAAAAATAGATGACATTGCTTCAAAAGACACAAGTGAAAAGCACCTTTCAATGCAAATTTGGAGTTAGATACAGTAAAGCTTAACTATGAATTAAACTGCATATATAGCTGTTTGATCATTTGAGGACTCTAGGCCTACATTTTGAAGCCTAGGAGGCGACTGAGAAAAATCCAAAGCGATCAGAAGAAAAGTAAAAATCTAGATGGAGAAATGCACTAGCTGTATAATTAAGTACAAGAAAAGACCAGATATAAACACTGCCCCATCTGACTTCTCTAACCCTTTTTTGTTTCTGTCTGTGATAAGGTTTTATCATCAAATGTACAATGTTTTGTATTCAGAGTTTTGTACTATTGATGATCACATTCGTCCACTGTGGATAAGAATTCAGGACCAGGCACGAGAAAGTTACGCCATGCGTGAGGTTTTCAAAATGGACTCCTCTGTCAGAGTTCAAGCCATCGAAAACTTAGGTAATGAAAGTTTATAAGATACAGCATAATATTGAATTTATTGAACATTTTGGTTCTTGGATATTTTTTCTTGTTTTGAATGAGCAAAAAATTTTGCTTTGGACTTCAAAATACAGACTAAGATACCAGGAATGTTTTTATAAAGCGAGTCCAGCTCATGAAAGATGGTAGGTTTTGCTTGTCAAGGTTTTGCATTTAAAAGGTCAGGGTCATTATGGATGGTCAAGGTCAGTGAAATGATAATAAACATTGGGTACAGACATCAGGTAGTTTACTGGAATGAAATTTTGAACAATTTTGATTACAGGAAAATTCAAAAGTGTGACTGTCATTGATGCTTTGCGGGACCTGTTGACTGACAAAGACCCTAACGTACAGGCGGTAGCTATCATTTCCTTAGCCCGAACGGGAGCCAATGATGGCAAAACTGTTAGCAATGTGATGAGGTGTCTTCGCTCTAGAGACAGAATCGTTCGTGAGGCTTCCTGTCTTTCCCTTGGTGTCATGAAAGCAACTGTATCCATAGAAAAGTTGGTGGATCTATGGTCAGTTTTAATATAGTTTATCGTACTGACAAAGTACATCTGGTGAAATTATAGTTAGTTCCAGTAAAGGAAAATAAAATATTTAGTTCACTTTTACTATTTATAGGCTTTTACTTCATAGATGTAGATTGAAGCAAATAAATCTACAAAATGCTAGTATTTGAGGTCTTTAAAAATGTTAAATTCTCGTATATAATCCTTTAGATACAAAGTCAGAGTATGTGAGATTTGACAGGTTTTCAGAGAAAGCAGGTGTCAGATAAGGAGACAATCACTTTTTCTCCACAAAACTAATTTTGATCTTTGGATTTTTTTAACATGCTCATGCTTCTGGTTCAGTTTAATAAAACAAAAATAGGTATACTGTGTAATGAACCTTATTTTTGTATGTTTTCAGGCGTAATGACATCATTTCTAACGTACGTGAGGCAGCCCTTGCTGCTCTTAGACGAATCGGAGGAGAAAAAGCAGAGGAAGCTATCCGTGTAACCACAGTACTGGAGAAAGAAATTCGCCATCTTAAGACAAGCTAGATCTTAATTTCATGGAGATTCTACACTACCTCGTCAATTATAATATAATAGTCAACTGTGAATTTCTGTTGTCCCATAGACATGCTGAATGGGTCCAAGACAAGGTCAATGTATGAATCCTACAGAGTTATTTGTAGATACTTGTCAAACCCTTATGGATTAGTGATTACCTTCGTACAGCTGAAGACGTTCATTTATAACTTTCAATACTGTATCTCTATGCTTTCTTGTCCAGCAGTTTGGGTGTGGTGTTTGGACATCTTACCAATGAAATGAAATTATTTGTTTATTTACGAAAATCAAAAGTCACTCTAAACTTTTGATATGACACCATATATTTTAACTACTAAATAGTATTTACGATTTTCAATACAAAATTTAAGGATTTATAACCAGCAAGTATGAATGAGCTTTTAAATGTGCATTTCCATTTTGGTTTTTCTTTCCTTTTTCTTTTTTTTTTTTTTTTTTTTATTTTTTTGCTTTGCTGAGAAAATATGCTGGCATTTTGAATTTGAATTTTGGAATTCAAGCCAAATTTTTGGTTCTACTGGTTTTCCAGGGTATGTATGTGTGTATGTCTAACAATGAGTAACAGAGTTATTTTTCTTGATATTCTGTATTTATGTGATGCACAGTTTTATTGTTATACATGTTGTTACACATACTTCTCAAGAGCTCATGAAAGGGGTTTTTACCTGTTTTACCTGAGAGTAATGTTATATGGTATATTAATTTATTGATTTGATATGTAGTTGTTTTTTCTATTGTTACATTTTAAATGTATTTCTGTAAGTATAAAGGAATGATATTTGATTTGCATACAAAAGAAAAAAAAACGTTTTTAGGTCATCTGACCAGTGCTTTGTCGGTCGTCGTACACCATGTGTAAACTTTTGACATTTTAAACTTCTTCTCAAGTTCCACTTGTAGGATTGAGTGCAAATTTACAGGAAATGATCTTGAGATGGTCCTGACCAAGTGCCGCCATCTTGAGAAACATGTTTTAATCTTCACCTGTTCCACTAGGGTCATTGGGCAAAAAATGTTGGGGAAAGGTTGCAAAGAGAGTATTGTTATTTTTCACCTTGTCTAGATTTCGACGTGGCAGATAGGAAAGACAGGGAAGCCATTTTGTAACATGATTGCTAAATGGTGGTTTTCCTGTGCAACACGTATTTCAAACTTCTTACGTTTCAGCAGCAGTGGTTTGATTTTAAACTTGAAATGGTCCTGATATAGTCCTGACCCCGTGTTGTTATTTTTTAGGTGTGTTTGAAATCCAAGATGGCCGCCATTGCCGCCATCCTGAAAACATTTGTCTTTTTTTTTGCAGTTCCGCTGGTTCAATTAAGCTAAAAAAAATAGTGGGAATGTTAAGGAAGCGAACAAAGTGTTGTTATTTTCCGACTTTGTTAGAACTTCGACACGGCAGCCAGAGATGCCATTCTATTATATTATTGCGCAATTATTGTGTTTGATAAAATTTTGGACAGCGACGTAGCTTTTTTATCCTGCGATGTCGGCTCTTTCTATCACTGTGAAGCCGAATTCATCAAGCGTTGACTTGTTCACCCACTAATAGGGAACGTGAGCTGGGTTTAGACCGTCGTGAGACAGGTTAGTTTTACCCTACTGATGACACGTCGTTGCAATGGTTATCCTGCTCAGTATGAGAGGAACCGCAGGTTCAGACATTTGGTTTATGTGCTTGGCTGATAAGCCAATGGTGCGAAGCTACCATCTGAGGGATTATGACTGAACGCCTATAAGTCAGAATCTCGCCCAAATCTGTAACGATACTATATGTACCCCTGAGTTGGGAGGCAACGGACGGACCAATTCTCTATCTCTCTCTACTTATGTATGACATCCTGCGGTACGTGTTTCTACTATTTAAATTTGTTAATGGTGTCGTATGTCAGTTTCAATTCCTGTGTTTACCACCCTGATATCATGCCACCTGATGACTCTGACATTAATATTCACCACATTTCAGGACCATACCGTCTACGATGGAAACGATTGAAAAAAAAAAAAAAAAAAAAAACAACGATTTGTTTTTTCCTACTTATTAGTTACTTTTCTCTTCTTAAATCCACACTACTTCCCTCTAAAATATTTCTGAGCTATATCTTTTTTTGTATATGTGTCTGGTTGTCTACATTCGTATGTAAGCAGCAGAAAAAACAGTCTCTGCTTCAGTCCGTTTCTTCTTTATTTCAGATTTAGACGAAAGGCATTCGTCTGTAATATATTAAAAACAGAACGTTCAATAGAAACACACACAATAACGCACATTTAACAAATTAAAATAAGCCATTGAGAATGATGAACATTTTGATCAGCATCATACAAATGACGACATGCTAATCACTTCACTCATACAATAGCATTAATGGTTCACATCTCGCATATGATTATGCAACAGGTTGGTTAAGCCAGGTTCTAAGAAAGACATGAAACCTGTTGAGAGTTCTAACCATAGTTTACTGTTAAACCGAAAGAATATGAACTCTGTGAATATACAAAAATAAATCAATATAACTACACTGTACATACACATCAAACAAATATAGACTAAAACATATTAGAACTTGATACAATATAATCATAAAGTATATAGAATAGATAATAGATACAGTACAAGTATGAATGTATCTGCAATTATGATAAGTACATTATGTATAAATAAACTGGCTAAATTAAATGAAATATAAAACTTTTGAGTGTAAATGAATAGACTGTAATTCTAATGAAAATATCAGAATATAGATTTCATTTCATTCCAGCAGATCCAAATAGATTAATTTGAAATAACGCAACGTCATAAAGATATGAAAATACAGCTAAGTCAAATAGTAATCTTTACAATACCTATATTATAGTGTCCGTTTCAATTTTCGATTTTATTTCATTCCGTGTGCAACAGGATATAAGATTGAGAATACACAAATAATAATAATGATAATAACATTTACAGAAGATGGCGGAGAACATTAGCCATAGCAAATAAGATTAAGACACAGAATTCATAAATCTGCATAGATATCAAGCAAATTTTAAACAGAGTGGTATTCTGAAGCACCAGTACTCGGAAGTGTTACTTTTGACAAATGGAAATGTATAGATTAATTCAGAAGCACCCAACTGCTCAAAAATATCTCGAATAGCATAAGTAAATAATAAGTATTTAATAATTGCTTTCTTTTTGCCGTAGCGTGAATCGGAAACCTGCCAAAATCCCTGAGAATTTTTACATCATTACTAGATAATAGTTGAATAATTATGGCCGGCGATAAAAGAAAGGCTTGATATATAAGATACGCAATTCTGAATAAGATGGACATAGTAAGATAAATTAAATTTTATCTTCTATTCCATTACTGTCGCACAGAGTACATATTCTTTGAGAAATATTAACGCCATGGTATCTACCCGTTTCAACATTCAACTTATGTGAGCTCAGCCTATACTTAGAGAGTATCATTTTTATTTTCATAGTGGCTTGTTGAGATACAATTGTTTTGTTGGTTTTTTTTGGGGTTTTTTTTTTTTTTGTTGTTGTTGTTGTTGGAGTGGTTTCATCTCGATCGAAAGGTAGTCCCACTGGAATAACAAGATTCTGTGCAAAATACGTTTCTTTCCTGAACCATCTGCTACTTCATAGACCGGAGAATCTAACGACATCCTGCGCCTTACAACGTGTATCGTGTCCTTCTAATATGACCAGAGTTGACCTGAGATTACTGACCACTACTCGATCACCTGTTCCCAAAGCAGCACTTTTGAAGCCCTTGTAGTATCTTTCCTTGGCCTTTGATGAAGATTTCTGTGCTCTTTCCTGGGCAATGCGGTAAGCCGAAGACAATTTTTGTACGTCTTTTCTGTCGGAATCTTGGCTGATTCCAAAAACAACATCGATAGGGAGTCTCGGAGTTCTCCCAAATAATAAGTAAAATGGAGCATATCCTGTGGTCTCATTCTTCGTAAGATGATACGCATGGACGAACTTGTTCAAATGGCTCTTCCAGTCGGTCTTCTCATTTCTATCCGGTGTACGTTCTATTCTGGTTCTGGTAGGGGATCGTACGAGATTTGGTTAATTCCACACCTCTTCTGCAACTGGTCAAATAGTTAATTTTCAAACTCTTGCCCCTGATCATGGTAATACGCTCAGGGATGCCAAATCGAGGAATGAAGTTGAAAAGTCAGTCTGCTGCGGTCCTGGAGGATTTGTTTCTTGTAGGGTAAGTTTGAGCAAATCGCGTGAAGTGGTCTACTAGGACTGATATATATTCTTTTACGCCGTGTCCTTGATGCACTTACACACATTCTTAACAAAGTGTGTTATATCTCCAGCCATACCAGGCCAATGGAATCTATCATTTGCCAAAATAGTCACTTGATCGGCTCTAAGATGGCCGATATTGGAATGCAGTTCTCGATACACAACTAGTCGGAGTTCCGAAGGGAGACAGATCTGCTCTACAGGCTGAGACTGAGATCCCTGAATCCATCGAACAAATTGCCTTGCTCCAACTTTTTCCGGCCTCTCAACCATGAACGAACATATCAATGCTTTTGCTTCAACTGTTTACAGTCGGGTTCCTGACCTCCTCTCACCAAGCACTTGACTCTCTTTAGAAACCAATCCTTGTCCTGTGCCACAGCAAGATCATTGTGGGGAATAGTCTTTAGCGGAGTCCGCCGCCCAGCATCGACACTTGCCTCTTCTTCATCGGCTATGGCTGGATTACAATGCGTCAAGCCCTCCACTGTAGCAAACACATCCACAACAGCCAACAATATTTTCTTTCCCACACTCTTCAGTATATTGTCGCTGCAGTTCTTCCACATCAACAGGCATTCTAGACAGGGTGTCTGCATCAGCGTTCAAACGCCCTGGTCGATAGTCTGCTAACTCTGCAACCCACCGTTGTCTGGTAGCATCCAGTTTCGCGGACGTCAAAATATACGTAAGCGGGTTATTATCTGTACATATCTATAAATATAAATCCTAGGGAATAGTACAGAAAGTCTTGGGAATATTTAAGCGCTAAAACTCCAGTTTCCCACTATAAAGGTGATAGTTCTGTGCACGAGTTAGTTTCCTGGAACCATATCCAATGACAGCATGGCATCCGTCATCTCTCTTCTGATATAAAACTGCTCCTAAGCCTTCTTTAGACGCGTCTGTATGCAAAATAAACTGCTTCTTAAAATCAGGAAAATCCATCACACTGGAGGTGGTAAGAACGTCTACCAGCACCTCTAAACCCTTCTAGTAAGTATCTGTCCGCTTCACAGACTGCCCTGACAAGACCGCTTGATAGGACCCCTTTCGGCTTCTCACTCTTAGCCACTTCATCCTCCTTCAGAAGTTC